ACACACAAATGTATTTACATATCTCACACCTAAACTTTCATATTTACACACATAGCACTCAAATTTTTAATATCACATAAAAATAACATTATTATCACTTCTTAAAACTGAAATACACTTTTTCAACCCTAAACCCTAAAACACCAAAATGCTATGTATGTAAATATGAAACTTTAGGGGTGACATGCAAATACATAAGAATTGTTTTCTAGGTATTTAAATTTCCCTAAAAATTAATTTTGTGGCCCATTCCATAGGGCCAATGATGGAGGGCATGGTTTGGTGTCTTTTAATCAATCCTCTAACATGGCAAAAGTTTTTAAGTGAACTTTAATCTACCTTTTAATGGAGTCTTTTGTAGAGGGTATGATAGTCGTATGAGCAAAATATTGACAAATGGGCTTATAATTGGTTTTGCTTGGTGGAAATTCCAAATTCTAAGCATGAAGCAGCCAATAGTATCTTTCATGGTTATTGACTTTTTCTCACCTAATATGGTTATGAGAAACTATTTGGCATGGTAGTTTTGTGTCTCATGACAACCCTTTGAATATGACAGCCTTTGAGTAAAATGATAGCCTTTAATTTAATGCTATAGTCATTGTATGTTTTCTTGGCCTAAGAATGCTGTAGTCATTGTATGTTTTCTTGGCCTAACTGTTTTGTGCTAGTATTCACATTGATGTTCTATTCACATTATTTTTGGTGCATTGGTGGCATGATTTTAGAGTATTTAGAAAGGTCTTACTACGTTAGAATGCTCAGTAGTATAATAAAATGTTCGAAGTTTTACATATGTACCACTTAATCCCTATGTATTTACATATTTAACACCTAAATTTATACACATGTGCCTCCTTACCTATTCAGGAAAAGGTGTCTTTCACTTTTTGAAAGTTAAAATAGGGTTATTTTTTATGTGGTGTGAAGGATTTTGGTGGTATAACTGTAAAAAGTGAAGTTTGATGTTAGATATGTAAATATATATGGATTAGGTGGTATGTATATAAATGCCTCTAAATTGCTTATCAATGTATCGGCACTATATTGATGCATTTATGTGCTTACTGGCACATTGGCATGATTTTCAATGCATTGTGATACTTATCAGTGTAATTCCCTTTGATCATAGCCTAACTATCCGTTTTGACTATTTGGGATTAGTGCCATTCTTTTTAGAGCAATTTGAGAATTATTCAAGCATTTCATGTTGTAATTATTGTAGCACAATGCTCCATTCTGTGTGCCATTACCCTTATTTTGTAGAGTAATATCAAATTTGTGGGCCTATACATAAAGCAAGGTAACTGTTTTCTTCGCCAGATAGCAATTGAAGTGTGCAATCCTAAAATTAGTGCAATAGGTCACATTAACTTGACATGTTGATGCATATTTGCAAAATCTGTTGTTAGTGCTATACCACAAATTGTAGTTTGAGTGCACCTTAAAGTTTCTAGGAATGATTATAAGTCAAATGGAGACTAATAGTTGAAGTAGGTTGACTATGTTCTTCTCAAAGTAGCCTGATTAACCATGTCAAGATAAATGATGAGTGAAGGATCATACTGGGCTTCTGTGAAGTTCCTCATAAAAATTTGCCCACTTATATATATATATATATATATATATCTGTAAAGATTAGATATTTTAAAATTATTTTATTTGAAGTGAATAGAAATTTTACTTTATACCTTTGAAGTGAGTAAATTCCTAAATAATTCTGTTGATAATTTAGTAGTCCGGATGTGCTTTTTTATAATTTAAGAATATGTTAATTAGGTATGAATAGCTGTTAAAAGAAAGTCTTTATTTGATTTTTTGAATTATTAGCCCTTTATGTGATTTTGGAAATTTTTAGGGACTTGTTACAATTTGTAGGTTAAATTTGCACTTAAGAGAAATCTTTAGGTTTTCTATATACTTTTGGATTTATTTGAAGGGTGTAGATGGAGCAATTCAGGCCCTTTGCCTGTTTTTAATTAAGTTGACGACTCTTTTGCAAAGTACAAACTTGTGTTGGCAATTAATTTAAGGTCAGGCATGCGCACTAAATAATGCTTTGATGGCTGGGGCTTTGAGTCCTGCTAGTGAGGGAAAGTGATACCACGAATTTTTTAATGTGCAAGTTTTTGTGTGTGTGCGTACAAGCAAACTAAATCCTAATTTGCATTACTAATTAAATTGCAGTAATTATTGTGTGTGTAATAGCCATTTAAGTAATCAAACTTAAGCAAAATTTTGCAAAATAGATATAATGAGAAGACTTCGCACAAGCAAACAAAATCCTAATTTGCATACTAATTAAATTGCATAAATTATACACTTTAAGGCATCGAAAGAATGGAATGCTAAACGTATCAATGATCCATATATTCCTGATATGAAAATAAAAGTGATACCATCAATTTTTTAATGTGTAAGTTAGGGAGAAAGTTTTTTTTTTTTATGTGTGTGTAAAATAGACATTTAATTAATCAAAATTAAACAACATTTTGCAATATAGATATAATGAGAGGACTTCGCACAAGCAAACTAAATCCTAATTTGCATACTAATTAAATTGCATAAATGATGCACTTTATGACATCAAAAGAATGGAATGCTAAACGTACCAATGATCCACATTTTTAATACAACAACAACAACTAAAACAAGCCTTTATCCCCCTAAGTGGGGTTGACTACATGAATTTTTTTTCTCCAGTGCATCATATTGAGTGTCATATTTTCATTTAATTCTAATAAATTAAGATCATTTTTTATACAATATGCCCAAGTCTTTCTAGGTCTATCTTTATATTTCTTAATATAAGTATAGTCTAAAACATCTACTCTCCTAACTGTATCATCATATGGTCAACATTTAATGTTACTGAACCATCTAAGGACTCTTTCTAATGTTTTCCGCCACTGGAGCAACGCCAAACCTATCACATATATATTCATTTTGCATTTTGTCTCTAAGTGTCGCACAATAAGAACAATGAAATTAATAGCCCTGCGTGAAGTTTGAAGACCGGGGTGTGAAATCTGAACTGGTCCAAATGAGGGTCGGGAGGTTTAACCGATCCCGTGGGGGTTGGGATTTGCCGCCCAAGATAATTGGAGTCCTCCTTTGTTGCCTAATAGTATTTATAGGATCCACATATTCCTAATATGAAAAAATAAAAATTAAAATCCGATCAAAAAGAAATTAAGTAGCCCGCATTGCATATTCTAGTAGTTATTATTTGAAAATTTAATTTAGAGAGGAATTTTAGTTGCTTGTATAATATAAAGACTCATAATAGACTACTAAAACTTTGAGATTTTAAGAGAAATATTAATCACCTATTAATAGCACAAATATATTATTAAAAATACCCAATTTTTGGCTGAACATAACTTAGAATCTTAGATCAAAGAAAGACAAGCTAAGTCACACAGTAAGACCAAATAAATTAGTAGCCCTGTTGACGGGGGCGTGAGGTTTGAAGACCGGGGCATGAAGTCTGAACCGATCCAAATGATGGGCTAGAGGTTTGACCGACCTCTCAGGGGTCAGGATTTGCCACCTAACATAATTGGAGCCCTCATTTGTTGCCTAATTGTATTTATAGGTGTTTTGTGTGTTCTAGGTTTAATTTTTATTTCAAATTTCTGTTAGGACAACCGTCGACGTCCAGATTTTCCTTTATAGGGGTTGGCTGTATTTGAAGGAGAGAAGGTGCTCTAGCTGTAATTCGTCTTGAGGTGTTGTGTATCTATCATTCCCGGCATCTCCAGCCTTCATCTTAGCTTCCCCACCTGCCGTCTCCCTGTTGCTAGCCCTCCCATCTTTTGTTTCCTTGACGCCAGCCTTCCAAACTGCTATTCCTTTTGCTGCCAGCCTTGCATACCCACGGTTCTTTACCGCCCAGCCTTCATACCTGATATTCCATTGCCTCTAGCCGCCCCTTTATCTGCAATCCTTTGCCGCCAACCTCCCCATTCCCCCAACCACAATACCCTCCTACGCCCCTCCCCCTGTTGCTTCCACCACCTTGGAATCCAACCCTACTTGGGTGTGTGTGTTGTGTGTTTGTCATCATATTTTCTTTTCGTTGTGATATTGTAACAACTTATTTGCATCTAGTAATAATATGTGTATTTTCTCTTGTGGTTTGGGTTTACTCCAATATCACCTATCATGATGAGTCAGGCTGCATGGCTGAAGTATGTGTTTGGAGCTATGTACTTGAAAGGCTGAAGTCCAACCAGCACAATCAAATGCAGCGATGTTTGAATATTATTTGTAATATTGTTATGTTTGTGGTAAGATTGAAGCATATTGAAAAGCTTAATAATTATATGAGAAAAGTATCGAAATGAATTTCCTAATTCTTTGTAGGGGTCATTTTAGTCCGAAAGTTTATAAAAGTGTCAATTTAGTCCTTCATTGCCTTTTAGTATTGGTTTAAATAGTTCCAAGTGAAGACTATTTAGCTCCCATTAAAAGAGTATAGGGACAATTAGCTCTTTTATGAACTCTGGGAGTAAATGACACCATGTAAATAGTCTGGGGATTATTTTGACACTTATAATTATATTACTACATCATAGCACCATCCAAGCTAAGGGGATTGAATTAAAACTGTGTGGGTTATTTAGGTATTACTTGAGGTAGATCTGAAATAATTAATGCAAATTATAACGATTTCAATCAATCTCTAGCACTAGAAGATTTTTAGCAGTAGGGAAGTATTCATGAACCTTAAGCTAAATAGGACTGCTAAAACATCATATCCTTAAATGAATATGCATCAAGTACCATGGGATAATGCAGTTGTCTTTTATAAAAAATTTTCTACTTTCAAAAGGTAATTTGATTTCTTTTGCAGCTTTAGTGTGGAGCACTATGTACTCAGATCAAATGTCTTTTAATATAACGTAGAAGCATAAATTTCAGTAAATTCCTATGTATAATTTGATGGTGATCCTCCTTTTTGATTGCTAACTTTTCTTATTGCTAACTGTTATCAGATAAATAAAAGAGGGGATACAGTTGATGAAAAAATAAAAAAGCTCGACTCTGAGTTGGCTAGATATAAAGAGCAAATTAAGAAAACCAGACCAGGTCCTGCTCAAGAAGCACTTAAAGCTCGTGCAATGAGGGTACTTAAGCAGAGGCGGATGTACGCTTGCTTGCTCTTATTTTAGTATTTTTACAAATATACCTCAACAGATTGCTTGTCCAAATTTGTCAAAATTTCATGATCAAAATTGCAGTCCTCAGTTGTTAGTGAATCTTCTATTGTTATTCGATATTATCTTGATTCTGGAATCTTGATTGATTTGATGTTTCTGAATACATAAATTACTTTAGGGGTATTTACATACATACCACCTTATTCTACGCTTTCTATATGTATGCCACCCAAATCTTTAATATCACATAAAAAAAATACCAATATTTTTTTTAAAGAAGTGAAATACATGCAAAGGTATAGTAGTTTTATGTAAAAATTTAAGTTTAGGTGTTAGATATGTAAATACATAAGAATTTAGTGGTATGTATGTAAATCTTCCATTACTTTACTGCTTAACAAATTGTGCAGTGGTAGTAGTGTCCTCTGCAAGTAATATCCTCGTTACTTCTCCTTGCATGTTGTCACTCTATCTAGCTCATTGTTTCATGTTATTAGGATTTTTTTCTTGTTCCATCACATAACAAATTATTGAGGAGCTTATTTTCGTATTGGTTTTTTATTTAGCACGCAATAGAATGTTGAATAATTCCAATAACAATCATTCAGTCCATACTTACAGAAATAAGATTGTAAGATAAGACCAACTAATTTGAATTCAAATCTAGATAAATTCTAATAATCCTGTCATCTAATTTAAAATATCATAATCCTAATAATTAAAGAAAGATGAAGCTGAAATAAATTTTGAAATAATCTAAAGTACTAGATTATTCTAGACGTAGTACAGAATTATTGATTATGCAGTTTTTTGGCTGTATCAATTTTCTTAGTCTTTGGTGGAAGTCCTTTCTTGGAAGGTTGGTTTTCATGGTGGAGGTGGTGGTGACACCAATTGTCTGGGGTGACAAAGTTTTTTAGTTTGATAAATTGGCATATAATGTCGTCTATTATCATGATGAAATTATGTTAGGCTGGAGCACATGTGTCAGTTCGAACCATGCTTATAATCATAACTGTAATAACCAAAATAAAATAAGGGAATTTTAAAATAAAATAAAAAGGAATAAAAGAAAATGAATTTTATCAGGCCTGTGTCAAGTTCGAACCAACCGGATTTTAGATGGTTTCTTCTTAAGTATCGTTCATTTGAACCGAAGGGAAGAAATCGAGAACAAGAACGTCATAAATAGAAGGGAGCAAGCAAGAGACAGAGATAAAGAAGAAGCGGGAGGGAGAAGTAGAATAAGCGGAATTGTACCTAATGTGTGCAACCCTAACTGAGCCGAATTGCAGGGAGAAGGAGAAGTAGAAGGAGAAGGGAAGATGACACTGCTTGCGTGTGCTGGAGGTTTCGACATGTGCACTGAAGACAACACCAAGAGTGGTGTTACTATGCGCGAAGGAGAAAAAAATGAAGTTTCCCTTGAGTGACAACGCAATCCCTATCCTAACAGCCAAAGTAGAAATTGAGTCAGTGCCACGAGCTCCCTGTACAAAGGAGAGGAAGAACCAAAAGACAAGCCATGTGTGAGAAGGAATGTACCAAATCAAACCAAAGGAAGGAAAGCAATTTACATGCAGGGCGAAAGCTTCGAGTGGGAGAAGGGACCAAAACGAGCAACATTGAAGAGGAAGAAGGGACTTGAAGCGCTATGTGCTTGCATGTAACCTGTGCTAAGGAGAAGGAGGAGGCTCTTTGAAGAGCCGTGTGCACCTCGCGTGATGGAGGAAGAGGCGGCAAAGTAAAGCGATAAGTTTATAGAAAAGGTTGTGTTGTTGTTTTGAGCAGAAGGGAAAATAAAACTGAGCCAAAAATTTTAAGGTAGGTTTAAGGTTTAATTTGATGTTTCGAATTAACATATTTAAGTAAATGCATCAAGTATTGCTTTATGATTCAATGATAGAAAGTATATGCAGAAGGATATTTGGTTGGGTGTTGGGGCTTGTTGTTTGTGTTGAGGTAATTTTAGTTATAAGTTCCTTTATAAATTCTAAACTTTCATACCTATAAATTATTTTATTATTGTTTTTTTATGAAATCAAAGATTTATAATAACAAATTAACAATTTGGTGTTGCTTAAGGAGAGAAAAGTATAAATTTAAAGAAAAATCTAAAGTTAATATTAATTTGGGTTAGTTAAGAAATTTTGTTTATTTGAAAAATAAATCTAAAATTTATAAGAATGAAGATAGTTTAGTGAAATATTTTTTTAGTATTATGATTAATTAAAGTTTTAGAGTAATAGAAATTATAAATTAAATGTTATTTTAGTTTCTTAAAAAGTTTTAAAGCAAATTAATTATATACAAATCAAATGTGTAGTGTAGTGTAGTGTAATTAGACTATACAATACCAAACAAATAGAAATGTAAATATTAGGATTCATTATAGTCTTTTAAATTTAGAATGTTAGTGATTGCATAAAAAAGGAAAGTAATAATATCAGAATGTCGAAATCACAAGAGAAGTTTAAGAATAATAACTATAAATCTATTTTGTGAGTACTCATATGCTTGTACTATAGTAATATTTTTCCTTCTTCTAGACTAAAATACGTTTACTGTTACTATTAATAGTTATATTTATATCACTGCATGCTTTCGATTTATGGTTCTATGAAATTTTTGTTCATATTATAGGAATGATATGCATACTCAACATTGTTTAATTTATTTATAATATTGAATATTATACAAGTATATTGGCTTCCATACAAATGCAAATGAAATGATCATTATTAGATAGTGATTATTATAGTATGTTTGCATGTGCATGATTGACTATGATAGAGTTCACTCATTTATAGTACTAGCAAGAGAACACTTAGATACCATTAACGTAAATAAAAAATATTATTGTTATTGAAGTATCTTAATAGTACAATTTTAGACAGTGCTCATAGAAAAGTTGTTTATAAGAAAGATAAATACAAAAATTATATAGTATGACATAATAAATGGTTTGAAATATCTCGATCGATTATATTCATAAATACATAATGATGAATATTTTTATACCGGATCAATAAAAGTTTAACTAGCATGCAAAATATTATTTTTCATTGTGTTACTATAATTTAAAAGTATGAGCATTCACTAACTTTGATTAGCTTATTATGTTTTACATTAACTTTTAAGTTTAAGATTTTATGTAAAGATGAGTAATAAAAAAGAAAATATCTATAAAAAATATGGACAACCAGAAATAAGGTAAATTTAATTGCATTAACTATTCTCCTTTTAGTAGTGGTTCTTTCATTCATTTTTGGATGATTAAATAATAGTTATGGAAAAGGAAAATAGAAAATTTTAATTTTTTACCGGCCGACCCTCTGTTTTTGTCTTGGTTGTTTGTGATAATAATCATTTTATTTTTTTACATTATGATTCATTAAAATTTTCATATTAATGAATGCTACCATTACCCGCTCTCAAAACTCAGATGTAAAAAGTGGAGGTTTGTGTTAGGTAGTTGACATTTAGCGTAAAGTTTTTTTCGAAAAATTATGACATGAATCATTTAAATCATTGTATCAATGCTAGGACTTCCCCTAAAAGTGATGTGTTATATGCCTGAATATAATTATAAGTGTGCAATGGTCGTTGTACCGACACCCCTATGTATTGTTAAATAAGCAAGAGTTACCACGTTATGAACAAATGCATGCAAATAAGTTAGTTAATGAAAAAAGTTTTATAATAGGAACTTGGAATATATGTTCAATCACAAATAAATTAATATAATTAGTAGATATTATGATTCATAAGAAGATAAATATCTTATGCATTCAACAAACTAAATGGATTGGACAAAATGCTAAAGAGATTGATAGTTTAGGTTTTAAATTTTAGTATTTTTGTACAAGTCGTATTAGAAATGATGTATGTGTAATTTTATATATAAGAGTTTCAATCATAAATAAAATTAAAAAAAGAATTATATTTCTAAATATCATTTTGATACTAAGATTTTTGATATTATAAGTGTTTATACTCCTTAACTAGGTTTGGATATATATTTGAAAGAAAAATTTTGGAATGAACTAGAAAAATTAAAGAAAAAATACTACTTGAAAATTTTTTTTAATTGGAGTTGATTTAAATGGACATGTTGGTAGAATGGTATAATATTTTAAAAATATTCATGGTGGTTATGGTTTTGGAATGATTAATGAATAAGATAGAGTCATATTAGATTTTGCTTTAGATTATGATTCTTTTATTGCTAATATTTTATCTAAGATAAGTGATGTATTGACCCGATCCAAAGCTTAAAATTAACTGAGAAGGGTACAGACGATCGAATGGTGGGAACTAAATTTTCTAGATTCATTTATCATTTAAAAAATGAAAAAGTCATTAATTAAATTAAATTAAAGCAATATATTTAAATTTACCTCGTTATTAGTTGTCTTTGTCTTCTATTAATATTTTTTCTTTTATCGCTTATCTTTTAATCACTTAATTAAACATGAAATGTTAATTTAAAGCAGCAGTAAATATAAACAAAAATAGTGAATACTCATACTCCTAAACTATAGTAATTAAATGAACAATGAGACATTATGCATTTCAATTAAATTGTACAAAAATATAAGAGCATTTGCCTGCTTGTGCTATCTAATATGATTATTCAAGTTGATTTTAAACATTTATTGTGTCTTTCTACATCATTCATATATCAATATCTTTTAAATCTATTTACAATCGTTACAAGAGCATCATCTAAACTCGTATCATTTAAGGTACTTAAATATCAATAGCATTTTCCATTTACGTGCACAGATACATTAGCATTACCCCGCTAGTACTATACAAGGGTGATTCCATCATAGTTAAATATGCACATACAAGCAGTCAATATAGACATAGCATTCATGTGTTCATCTCATTCAATTCATTATATTATATCATATACATATCATTTACATACCTACCACACAATTCTCATTTATTTACATATGTAACAACTAAACTTTCATATTTACAAACATAGCATCCAAATCTTTAACATCACATTAAAAATACTATTATTATAAAAAGTTAAATCCACACTTATGCATAAACTATGACACCAAAGTGTTGTAAGTGTAAATATAAAATTTTAGATGTTAGATATATAAATACATAAGAATTGTGTGGTATGTTAAATTTCTCCTTTATTTATTATGTGATGGTTGCATCTTAAATATAGAATAAAGTCATTTATATCTTCTTTTTCCTTAGGTATGAAGGACAGCGAGATATGCTATATAACCAGACCTATAATCTTGATCAAGTTTCATTTGCTGCTGATGGACTCAAAGATGCTCAGCAAACTGTATATTAAAACTTTTGACAATATTTCCATTTTTTAAGGCAGATCTTGTAATTTCGAGAAAGTGTCAAAATAGTCCTCTGGCTCTTTGTAAGGGGTTGTCTAATAGTTCATAAAAGTTTCAATTTAGCTCCCATACTCCCATGGATGACTGTTTCAACACAAATTTAAAGAGTCCAGGGACTAATATGATACTTTTATTGACTCTGGAATTAAAGAGGACTATTTTGGCAATTTCCTAATCTAATATCTATCTTCCTTTGATCTTTCAGATGACTGCACTGAAAACTGCTAATAAGGAGCTGAAAGGAATGATGAAGACCGTTAAAATTCAGGACATAGATGTATGGATTTTCTTTTTTACCCCTTAAAAAAATCTAATATTGAGGTTTTATAGATTGGCAATTATACCAATTGGTTTTCTGGTCTTGATAAATTTAAAATTTTCTATTGATTTGTAGAGTATGCAAGATGAGATGATGGAACTGATGGACGTTAGCACAGAGATACAAGAATCTCTTGGCAGAAGTTATAATGTTCCTGATGATATTGATGAGGAAGAACTCATGGGGGGTATACTTCTACATATTATATTTTTATGATGATTTGTTTTGGTACATTTACATACATGCCACACAATTCTCATGTATTTATGTGTCTAACACTGAAACTTTAATATTTACATTCATAACACTCGAATATTTAACATCACATCAAAAATACAAATTTACTAACTTCTTAAAAGTTTTCATGCATATGTTTATAGCACCAAGATGTTATAAATGTAAATATCAAACTTTACGTGGTAGATATGTAAATCATTAAGAATTGTGTGGTACTTATGTAATTTCCCTTTTTTTTGCAGTTGCGCATAAGTTTCCAACAGGTTTCTCAGTTAATTATGATTTCATTGTCTCATTTCTATCGTGAATGCAGAACTGGATGCTTTGGAAGCTGACATGGGAGCAGAATCTGAATCTTCAATTCCTACTTACCTTCAACCAGATAAGGAACCTGATCTTGATGCAGAACTCAACTTACCTGCAGCACCAATGGGGCATGTGCCTGGCCGGCAGAATGCTCAGGTACCAAATCTCTCTGGCAGTATTTAAGGGGAATTTTCATACATGCCATCCAATTCCTATGTATTTACATATCTAACACCTAAACCTTTTTTTCTTACATTCAAAATCTTTCATTTCATGTCAAAAATACCACTACCTTAACTTTTAATAAGTTTTACATAAATACCGCTGTCTTAACTTTTCCTTTTTACATTCAAAATCTTTTCATGCATGGATAAGGTGGCGTATATGTAAAAATTGAAGTTTAGGTGTTAGATATGTAAACACATAGGAATTAAGTAGTCTGTATGTAAATCTCCCTTATTTAATTGTCAAAACTAAACTAATCTCTCTATTATCATTAAATAAAGTTATTGATAGAGGAAACAGACGTGGTAGGATATATTTAGAGTAAAAAATAAAAGGTAAACCTATCATTAGTAATGGTGGTCGGTTTTGGCTAGATAAGCGGCTCATGGGCTAGCTCGATGAGCTAACAACCCATGCTCAAGCCAACGCCGACTCGACTGATTAGTTTGTGAGATGACTCATTTAAAAAATATCAGAGTTTAGGGTTTCAATATTTGAACAAGTTTTGATTAAGATCAAAACCAATAATATTTTGTCTAATATCCGCTTGCGTTTTAAGGCCTAAAGTGTGAACAAACATTTTTATATTTTAGTAACCAAATGTAAAGCATTATTTAGACAAGTAGTTGGAGATAGAAGACAAGCATAGCTTTTAAACTTTAAACCATCACTCATAAATGTCAATCGTCGAAGAAGAGGAAGGCGCTACGAATATAAATGGCAGAGTTTATATAATATTCTCACGACCCTTAAAATTTTGTCGATGTTTTGATCTAGAACACACATCGGGGCATACTTTCAAGAAATAAAATAGTCGGTATATTTCTCTAATTCCGATCCCAATGGGGGCATATGAAGTCAAAATTTTTTGATAACTTAAGTGATCAGTTCTCGAAAATGGTGTTCGTGCGCCTAGCTCAACTCTCATCGATTAGGAGAACCATGAGCGACGTGGTACGAAGCTTCTAGATCAACTTGGCCAATCATTCGACTTGAGCGTCGACCTCAACGAAGATGTAGATGCTCCACCAACTCCTAATATCTTCGCGCGACCACTTCAACATGAAATCATATCAAACCACCACCATTCTTTCTCACAAATTTCCATAAGAAATAAACCACATATAACTAAAATCAATATTTATTTCCTCAAAGTCCCTAGTTTTATGCATTGTTATTCAACTTTGTCAAAATTTACATACTTATTATATATTTTTCCTGTTTTTAAAGCAGGCAGAGGATGAGCTTGGTTTGCCTTCAGTTCCCAGAGCCTCTCTGCGAGGCTGAAACTGATATCTTCAGGGGACAGACTTATTATATTGGATTGGATGTGTTTATATCATATTAAAATGTATCTTTTGTAATGTTGCTTTGCCCTAACAAGTTCTTAGATTTTAGGTTCTCTTTGTGAATTCTCATAATTCTTTGGTGATCATTTGCTGGAAATATTTTGCTTTGCTTGTTACTGCTCTCTCTCTCTCTCTCTCTCTCTCTCGCATATACATGATTTTCTGCTAAATTTGAGTAGTATGACATCTTTTGGTTTTGATTTGCAAATTTTACAAGAAATAATGATATATACTAACTTGTGATAGAATAATGAAATCTTAAGAATTTTATTCGTAGTCATCTGAATAATTATCATAGAAGGGGATATATTAATTCTCTTAATACATATTTTTTTACTAATAAAATGTATGTATGTATGTATGTATGTATGTATCTCTTTATTTGTTTATTTATTTATTTATTTATTTTGTCATATACCCTAATCTGTTGGTTGACATTCACGGTATAAGGCCCCTCAAGTTTGGGGTTCGAATTCCCTTTGGCACAGTTGGCCTTGAAATGGTGGTACTCGAATTGTTAGACACATTAGGGGGTGGTTGTAGGCTCGTATAATAATCTCAGGTCATTTTATTAATATATATATATGAAATTATGTAAGATGAGTTTTTAAGTAAATAATAATTCATTTATAACATATTTAACATCTATGGTTTAATATCTACATTTATGGAGGTCCTTTGCCATGGTATTTGGGATGAGGTTGAGAAGAAAGGGGATAGCTCATTCTATCTCTTGTGCATGAGCATGATGCATGATTAGGGAGGTTTAAAAATGTGCCACATAGGCTCGAGAAATATTTAATTTAAAATCTCAAATTTTTTTTCCTCAATGATGAGCTGCATGTTTTTATACTTTTATATGTATTTACACATTTAATTTAAAATCTGATAACGCAAGTGACGGTTTGAAAAGTCACTGGCCACCCAATTACTTAAGGGGCGACTATAAGTCGAGTCGATAGTGGGGTGCCTATAAGTCGAGTCGAGAGTAGAGCATGGGATTGAGTAAGGCTTCATTAGTGGAGTTGGCTACCACGTATAATTCTTTCTTAGATGATAATATTTGAGTATCGGTACTACCCTCTGTTGTCCGGTACCAAGGGTAGGAAAAATTATTGCACACATACACCACATGCAGACATGCATGTGGTGTCTGATTCTAACCGTAGATCACGATGATATATGATCATGATGTATTTCGGTGAGCCTTACTTTAATAATTATTTTTTTTTTCAAAAAAATTTTGATTGCATCCTGACCGTATATCACTATCACGGTGATCTACAGTCAGGGTCAGGATCGGACATCGCATGCATTTTTGCATGCTGTGTATGTATGCAATAATTTTTCTAAGGGTAGAGCCCTGGTTTCTTACCACCCAATTTTTATGTATTCATCCAACACCTGAAGTCTTCCCTTTTCATTTATATCACCATACATATCAAATGAAAAAAAATCACTTTTTTAAGTACTAAGAAGTGGAATGCATCTTTCTACGCGTGGGGAATGTGACATATATGTAGAAATTGAAACTTGGGTGATAGATATGTAAATAGGTAGGAATTAATTGGTGTGTGTGTAAATCTTCCTTTTTTTTTATTTTATGTGTTGGATTTAGTATTGATTAGCTACTCTTAAGGATTTATGACTTATGAGTGAGCAGTAGCATCTCTGTATATGCAGTAAGTAATTATTTCATCCTGCAAATTATTATTTCATGTTGCTCGGGTAATTCGAGTTATTTGAATAAAACATTTGACTATAAACATACGAGGTTCTGAACTTGTTAGATGAACTACAGGGTTGCGAACAGAGCGTATGGCAAGCAACTCGTAACTCGGCTCAATAAGAGCAAGTTCTAATTTGTTTGATTAAATAATCGAACAAGTTTAAACATAAATGCTTGACAGTTAAATGAATAAGCTCGAACACCTTGTTTGATTTGTTAATGTTCATGAAAAATATCATTCAAGGCTTGTGAACAAGTTCGGTAAACAGTTTCATTTAAAGTTCATAAATAAGATTGATTTAATGCTCGTGAATAAAATCACTCAAGGCTTAATTTAAGCTTGTGATTGAGCTCAATTTAAAATTCATTTATATTAAATTAAATTAAATTTTAATTTGTAGTACATAAAACAAGATAAAGATTTATTTGTTAGTTCTTCGTTTATTTTATGCATTTATAAGCATATATTAGTTATTCATTTAATAGCTCATTCATTTAGAAGCTCATTTATTTTTGTAATTTCAATAAATAACTCATTTATAAGCTCAATAAGCTTTGATTAGAGACTAATAGCTCAACCAAACTAACTATTTTGATTGATAAGTCTTATCAAGTTAGAAAATAAATAATGTCCTAACAACAATTTTGATTTATCAAATAAATGTTGTTTGGATAGAAATAAAGATGCTCGATAGTTTACTCCTTGATTTGTTTGATGATGACTCGATAATCATCATTTGAAATGAACAAACTCAAATAAGAACAAAGCCTAAACATAAACACAGAGCTTGGTTAGAGCTCGAGCACGAATTTTATAAACAACCTTAAGCTTGAACAAAACCCTAAAACTTGAGCTGAGCTCGAGCTTGAATTTTATAGACAAGCTCAAACTTAACACAACCCTGCTTGACTCCACTCCATCAGTTTGCAACCCTAATGAATCATTTAATTGAAGTACTCTTTGCAATATTCATTCTAATGAATTCTGCATATTTTATTTACAATATCAACTCTAAATTGAATACAATGCATTATCAACGTTAAAGATGGTTGAAGGGCGGAACCGCCAACCACCCCTAACTCGCAATCAATCAGGCCTGGGTTGAACCCATGCTCCAAAATCACTCGAGTACCACCACCATATAACATCAGTCGTCTGGGGGGATTCGCACTCCACACCAAAGGGGAGTTACAACTGATGAAATAATTTGGGAACGCGGCGCAAAATGCATTATATATATATATATATATATATATATTAGTCCTC